CACAGTGGCAAGTGCCTATAATCCCAGCAATTCAAGAGGCCGAGGCAGGAGGATTTCAGATTTTAGGCCAATCTCAACAACTTAGTGACACATTGTCTAAAAAAAAAACGAAAAAGAAAAAAAAAGTGCTGTGGTATATATAGCTCAGTGATAGAGCACTCATTGTTTCAATTCCAGTACTGGGGGAAAAAAATTGACCACGAGTTGGCCATTGTTAAAAGTGTATGATGGGGCTGGAGTTGTAGCTTAGTGTTAGGTAGAACACTTTTCTTGCATGTATGAGGCAATGGGTTTGATTCTCAGCACCACATAAAAATAAATAAATAAATAAATAAAGGTACACACACACACACACACACACATATATATATATATTTGGGGGGGGGGTACCAGGGATTGAATTCAGGGCACTTGATACTGAGCCCTATTTTTTGTATTTTATTTAGAGACAAGGTCTCACTGAGTTGCTTAGTGCCTCACTTTTGCTGAGGCTGGCTTTGACTTTGCAATCCTCCTACCTCAGCCTCCTGAGCAGCTGGGATTGCAGGTGTGTGTTAAAAGTATAAACATTTTTAAAAAAAAAAGTGTATGATGGTGCTTGGCACCTGTAATCCCAGTGGCTCAGAAGGCTGAAGCAGGAGGATTGCAAGTTCAAGACCATCCTCAGCAATTTAACAGGGCCCTAAGCAACTTAGTGAGATCCTGTCTCAAAAAGACTTGGGATATAACACAGTAGCGAAGTGCCCCAGGTTCAATCCCTACACACACACACACACACACACACACACACACACACACACAAAAGCATATGATGGTTACCTGGGTTTCATCGTATTACTGGTAGTGCATGTGTTTGAACATTTTGTTAAACAACAAGAATTTTTTTAAAAAAATGAAAATAGGAGGAAGAGAAAAGTAACCTTCAGTGAGTGGCCAACGGAGTGGATTCCTGTGGCTTGATGTTTTTAAAATTTGGTTTTCCTTTGAGAGAGACAGAGAAGGGAGCAGACACATGAACCACAGGCTCGAGGACGGAGGGAATGTGACGGGTAGGGCTGAGACTTGCAGCATCCACTGCTGTGTTTTTATCCGGCCCCCAATGCTCCACTGGAGTGGCAAAGGTCCCCAGACCCTCTTACTGTCACATCCAGGATTGGTTTTCAGTCCCACTTACTTTACTTATTGATGGGCTGAGATGCTGGTGGCTAGGCCCACCTGCCTGCCAGGCACCCCTGGGATTCCCCTCCCAATTTTGTGAGCTCCTCTTCCTGTGGCTGACTCTTCAGCCCTGGGTTCTGTTCTCAGCCCTCTGCTCTTCTCCCCCATACCCTCTCCCCAAGCAGTTCTATCCTCTTTATAAAATGCAATCTTTTTTTTTCTTTTTAAATTTTTTTAGTTGTAGATGAACACAATATCTTTATTTATTTATTTATTTATGTGGTGCCAGGGATGGAACCCAGTGCCTCATGCCTGCTAGGCAAGCACTCTACCACTGAGCCACAGTCCTGGCCCAAAATGCCATCTTGATCAGTGGGTTCCCTTGTTAAAACCCATGAATAACCTTCCATTGCCCAAATGATAATATCCCGACTCATTAGAGGCACAAGAGATTCCTCAACATCTCTTTGTACCTCTGCCTCCTCTCTGCCTTCTCCTACCTCCCCTCCTCCCCTTCCCCTTCACAGCCTCCACATCAGCCAGTTACATTATCAACATTTCTGGAATGTGCCATGCTGTCTCTTCTTCCCATACCTTTGACTCCATCTGGAATACTGACCTACCCACACACTCCTCTGCCTGGAAAAGCCTACTCATCCTTCAGGACTCTGCTACAAGGTCACCCCATCTGCGAAGCATTTCTTTATCTTCCTGTGCCATTCACACATTCATCCAATCATTCATTCATTTGTTCATTTGAAAATTATTCATATGGGAGGCCCTGTGCTAAGGCTGACTGCCATGGGTGAGAACCACATAATCCACACTTTACATCATAATTCCTATCTTATCAACAGTACTGACTCGTTTACATAATATTTGTTCCTGAACTCTACCCATTGGGATCAAGAATGGTGAATGATTCATCTTTGTACCCAGTGATAGTAGGCACTAAAACAGGTATGTTCAATTGAATTAAAGGAGATAATTACTGAGAAGAACTTTTGTGTTTAGCCATTCAAACACCCTAGACAATCTTTAGCTTCTACCTAGTGAAGCTTAGGATCAGGGTCAAGGGAAGAGGCTTTTTCTTTGGAAAACCTAGGAATTGGCACAGTTGTAGGCCACTCGTTTGGGAAATATTCTCAGTGAGCAGAGGGAGGAGACATCATGGAAACAGGGTGAGTGATGCGGAGCGGGGAACTCAGGGTACTTTAAAAGATAAGAGAAGCCCGTGGGAAACAGACTTAAGATACTGGTGAGGGGAGAGAATGATCCAGAAGTAGAATGATAAAGGAGGCTAAATCTTTTTCTTTTTGAGGGGTGGGGGCAAATGAGCCTTGTACAGGCCTAGGGACAACCCTTCTTCTAAGATGGAAGGCAGGATAGGCAACCCTTCCTTTAAGATGGAAGGCAGAGCTATAGTACTCACTCCTGTTAGAATAGCTGTAATTGAACATATAAAAATAAATGCTGGCAAAGATGTGGAGAGAAGGGAATACTCATGTACTGTTGGGAATTAGTATTGCCATTATGGGAAATAGTATGGAGGTCCTCTAGAAACAGGAAATAAAATAAGCCTATGACCTGGAAATCCCTCTACTGGTTATATACCCAAAGGAAGTGAAATTATATCAAAGAGATACATTCTTCCATGTTCACTGCAGTATTATTCACAGTAGTCAACATATGGAATAGACTGAGATGTCTGTGATGGATGAATCGATTAAAAAATGTGATATATGTAGATACACACTTACATGCATGCCTATACACAATGGATTAGAAAAGAATGTCATCTTGTCATCTGTGACAATATGATGAGCCTGGAAGACCTTATGTTAAGGGAAATTAATTAAACACAGAAAGACAAATACTGCATGTTTTCACTTATTTGTCTTTCACTTATTTGAAGAGTTGACCACATAGTAGTGGGGAATGGTATAGCGGTCACTAGAGGCTAGTAAGGAAAAAGGATAGGGTAGAAAGAGGATGGTTAATGGTACCAAAATACAGTTGGTGAGGAGCTGTTCCAATGATCTGTAGCACAGTAGGGTCACTATAGTCTACAGCTATTAATTATATTTTTCATAAAACTAGAGAAGAAGGGTTCAAGTTTTCCAGGCACAATGACGAACACCTGTACTCCCAGCTTATCAGGAGGCTGAAGCAGGAAGATCACAAATTTGAGCCCATCTCAGCAATTTAGACCCTATTTCAAAATAAAAAATAAAAAGGGCTAGGGAGATGTTGCTCACAGGTAGAACATCCCTGGGTTCGATCCCTAGTATTTCCCCAAAAGAATGTAGAAGTTCCCAACACATAGAAATGATCATATTTGAAAATATGAAAGTGTTTATTACCCTGATTTGTTATTATATACATAATAACAAATGATAATACCATACGCCATAAATAAGTATAAATATTGAATATTAATTTTTAAAATGTGGAGTAGTAATAGTAGCCACTTTGCCTGCCTCATGCTAAAAAATAAATATTAAAAAATTATTTTATTAATATTTATTTTTTAGTTGTAGTTGGACACAATACCTTTATTTTTATTTATTTTTATTTGGTGCCAAGGATTGAACCCAGGGCCTTGCACATGCTAGGCAAGTGCTCTACTGCTGAGTCACAACCCCAGCCCCCAAGACATTTATATTTTAATGTTCAGACATTTTCATGGAAGGATTGGGTCAAAGTGTTTCAGGGTTTTCCACCTGGCTACACCTTATAATTACCTAGGTACTTGTTAAACAGCAAACATGGCCAGGCTCAGTGGTGCATACCTGTAATTCCGGAGGCTAGGGAGGTAAAGGCAGGAGGACCAATAGTTCAAAGCCAACTTGGGCTATAATGAGGTTCTGCATTTCTAACAACCTATAAAAAGGACTAGGGATGTAAAAAGCAAAGCAAAACAAAACAAAATCAAGATGCCAGTGTTCAAATCAGAAAAGTTGGGAGTAAGATGAAAGACCCAGGTCTGCTGAGAGGTTTTTGGTTTGTTTGCTTTTTGGCAGCACGGAGGATTGACCCCAGGGGCTTTCACGTGCTAGGCAAGTGCTCTACCATGAGCTACATCCCCAGCTCTTTTTATTTTTTACTTTGAGACAGGGTCTCATTAAGTTGCCCCGGCTGGTCTTGAACTTGTGATTCTCTTGCCTCAGCCTTCCATGAAGCTGGTTCTAGAGGCATGTGCCACAGCACCCAGAAAGTTCTTCAGGGGATTCTACTGTACAGTCAGAGTGGAGAGCCCATGTAAAGAAACTGTCAAAGATGGTCCTCTTGCTAAGATGGAATTTAACTTAGTTCTGCTGGTTCCAAAGTGTATACTTTCCCTCTTAGCACTGTGGTTCTCAAAGTGAGGACCCCTAGCAGTATCAGAAACACCTGGAATCCTTCTACCTTAAAAAAAAAAAATGTGCCTACCAAGTCAGGAAGCCTGGGATAGGCCCAGGCTTGAACAAGTCTCTCCAGGTGGTCCAAATTTGAGAACTACTGCTCTGTAGTCTTGCTACTCTGTGTGATCCATAAATTTGTAGTATTGATGTCAGGATGTTAGAAATGCAGAACCTCAGGCCCCACCCCAGATCTGCTGAATCAGAGTTGATTTTGGAAAGATCCAGAGGTGCTTCATGTATGCATTAAAATGTGAGACACCCTACCTTAGTCCCATGGCACACAACACTTACATTCAGATTCCATCGGCCAAACAGTTACAGGACACAATTTGCCTAGATGAATAGGGTGAGTGCTTATAATTAGTTCTCCAGTAGTGAGGATTTCCCATAGAAAGGGACAATAGATATTTTGAGTGATAACGCATTCTACTATAAAAGGGAAGCAGAAAAACCTCACAGACTCCAGGAGGCTTCAGGAGGAAAATAGAAATGGAAGGACATCCCTGATGGCAGAGCCAAGAGACATGAAGGACAATAGCCTGAGGAACCCCTTTCCCCCAGGAGCAGGACTGAAACCTGATCAAGAAGCATTTCACATCCCCTTAAATAAGGTATCTCTTGCCATGTTGGCCCAATGGAAGATCAAGATTTCCATTGACCAGTGACTACTCTGTCTCCCATTCTTTCCATCCTAAATGGTGTATTCTTTGGAATTACCTATTCCCCATTTTCCATTGTCCATTCGGTGTGTGGAGGGCTACTAACATGTCTTTTTAGTTCCAGATCTCCAGATTCAGAGGAACCATTACCACATCTGAGGTAGGAACTATCAGGAGAACCCTGAATTGAAGTCTGATGGTAGAAATTACATGGGAATTTGAGTTGTTTCACCTCATGAGAAGACGTGAATTTATTTTGTAGAAGAGAGGAAACAAATATCTGTGATCCTGGGGAATATTGTAAGTTGTATTAGGGAAGCAAATAATTGTGACCAAGGGGGAATACTGTTATAGTTTATGTTATTATTCAAAATACCTGTTGCTACTCTCTTTGGAGTTCCTGTCTATATGAGGTTTACATTTGTGACCCCATAGACCTTAGACTTAGCCATGTGACTTTTTTTTGGCCAACAGAATATAAGTAGAACTGATAGGTTACTTCTGAGCAGAAGTTTGGAGAGACAGCATATGGTCCTTCACTGTACCAGATAAGGACAGCTCCTTCAGCCCGGATCCCAGACTGGACTTCCTGTCAACTTGCAACATACATATAACATGGAGTGAGAAATGCCAGATTTTAGTTATAAGCCACCAAGATCTTGGTGATGTTTATTACTAGAGCATAACCACACTATCCTGCCTGATCCAAGAGTAAATAAATAAGACCATGGAATCATACATACCTTTAGATAATTCCATTTTTGTAAAGTTTGCAAATACGCAAGGCTAAACAATATATTATTTAGGATTAAATTGGTAAAAATATGTAAAATTGTAAAGAAAGCAAGGACATGAATAACACAAGTCAGGAGAGCAGTTACTTCCGTTTGAGGGTCAGGGGGATACAAATGGAGAGCTCTAAATTATTCATGTCATATTTCTCCTCCTCCTCCTCCTCCTCCTCCTCCTCCTCCTCCTTCTCCTCCTCCTTCTCCTCCTCCTCAGTACTGAGAATGGAATTCAAGGCTTCACACATGTTAGGCCAAGTGCTCTACCACTGAATTATATACCCAGACCTGTTTTTTTTTTTTTTTTTTGAGACAGAATCTTACTAAGTTACTGAGGTTGGCCTCAAACTTGTGTTCCTCCTGCTTCAGCTTCCTGAGTAGCTGGGATTTCAGGCATGTGCCACCACACCCAACTATATTCTTTTGTTCATGAATGATACAATTTAAATAAAAAGCATGGCAGTTGTGTCTTCCAGAAATAGATACAGTGATACCTGCTGTCTACAAATTCTACAAACATGCCCATTCCCCCATGCCTTGAACCTAGACAAACTGTATGATTGTCTTGACCAATCTAGTATGGTCAAGATACTTGCACTCTGTCTTCTTGGGACATCTTCTCTTGGATCCCAGCTACCAGCTAGTTTGAGAAAGCCCAGACTAGCCCACATGGAGAGACCACATGTGGAGATCACGAGTAGGTATTTGGGCTAACAGCCCAGTTGAGGTTCTAGCCAAACCATCAGACATGTGGGTGAAGACACCTCCATAGGACTGCAGCCCCCACTATGAATCACTCTCAGCTTTCAAGTCTTTCTAGCTAAGGTTCCAGACATCAGGAAGCAGAGGCTATCTGCCCCTGCTAGTTCCTGTCCAAGAGTCCATTAGCCAGCACAATGGATGGTTGTTTTATGCTACTAAGTTTGGGGGTATTTTATTTTGCAGATAACTTAAATTACATAAATGCAAACACACAGAGATGCTCCTTATGCTGTGATAAACCTAGCATATTGTCAAAAATATCATAAATAAAAATGCATTTAATACCCCACTAAACCCATTATAACAGGAAAAAGTTCCTGAGGTCTAGGGCTGCAGTCTTTGAGGAAAAAAAAGGAAGGTTTTTCAGTATTTGTGGGTAGAGAATCCCACTGAATATTTCTTTCATGCACTCATTCATTCATTCATTCATTTTTGAAGAATTTCTTTCATTTATCAAACAATTGCCCATCATCTTCAAAGTGCCAGAATGTGATGTCATGGTCCCTACTTCAAGGTTTGACCCCTGGGAGCCCAAAGGGGGAAGTGAAGGGCATTCACCCTGAGTGACTTTAGGATAGGTGATAGGCTCAAGGTGCTGTGAACACCACAGTCAATTCAAACCTCCATTCTCAACCCTACAGAATGTAGAGTAAATCTCAAAACCTTTTGTCTCTTTGTTTATTTATATCCTAAATTCCCTAAGCCCGATGACTTCACACAAAGCCAGCCACATTTTCCAAAGGGTGTAACATCCGCAGAAGGGATACCTAGCATAGTTGAGCCATGTCACTGTGCTCAGGGGCTCAACTGAGTACCAAAGGGCACTACCTCTCCACAGGCTGGCTCACCTGCTCTCCTGGCCATCGACTCACTTGGCCTTGCCACCACGAGTCTCTTTTCTCTGAAATGTTATTTTCCTCAGCACACAATTTGTGTCCAGCTCTCCTGCTGGGATTTGACTAAGGTAACATGTCCTACGACTTCTATGTGCTTGTCTGAACAGAGAGCAGTTTTCCTTCCTGTCCCAGGAAGAAGATAGGGCAGGAGAAAAACCTGATGACAGGGATGCCCAGGTTAGTGTGTTGAATCATATCCCACAAAAATAAATGTTTTTTTTTTTTTGTGTGTGTGTGTGTATTCAAGACTTAGCCTCTGGTATCTGTGAATGTAATCTGATTTAGAAATAGGATCTTTTCAATTGTCAAGTTACAATGAGGTCATATTGGGTCAGGGTGGGCCCTAAATCCAACAACTGGTATCTTTATAAGTAAAGGTAGAGGAACATTTGAATACAGAGACATGAATCACAGGGAAGAAGAATCACATGTGATGATAGCAACAGAGATTGGAGGAGGCACCTATGACTTCAAAGGAATGCTAGGGATTGCCAGCAACCACAAAAAGGGAGGAAAGAGGCACTTGTATTAGTCAGTTTTTCATCACTATAATAAAATGCCTTGGATAACCAGCTTACAAAGAGAAAAGCTTTATTTTGGCTCACAGTTTTGGAGGTTCCAGTCCATCACCAATTGGCCCTGTTGTTTTGGGCCAGTGGTAAGGCAGCACATCATGGTAGGAGAACAGCAAAACTGCTACTTTGTAGCCAGGAAGCACAGAGTGAGGAGGAACGGCCTAAAAACCCCCCTAAAGGCCCCACCTTTAAAGGCTCCACCATCTCCCCATAGTGCCACCTTTAACACACAAACTTTCAAATTCCAAACTATAGCTGTGTGGAAGAGTCTTCCTTTCAACTCTCAGGGGGACCAATCCTGCCAAAACTTTGATTTTGGACTTTGAGCCCCTAGATATATGAGAGAATATATTTCTGTTGCTTTAACCCACCAGGTGTGTGGTACTTATGGCAGCTCTGGGAAACTAATACCCCCAGAAAGAAAGTGTTTTTTCAAATGTTGCAGTTTTAAATACTTCCAAAGAAAGAGTATAAAGTATAACGGTTACATGTACACATTAAGTGCTGCACACAGCTGAACCAAGCTCTGAATTGATCCTTCATTAGCTGAGCCCTTGGATGCACGATTAAACATAAGTTTTCTTATATGCAAAAGTAAATTTTTTTCTCGTGCAATATATATAAAGTACCAGGAACATGCTAGCATTAATGAAATGGTAGCTAATATGATGATACCAGCTTCAGACTTCATTCTTCACAAATACCAAGGCAACTTTCCTTTTTCATGGGATTCTGCATTAGGACAGAAGTAGCAAGATGAAGATATATTTTATTAGGGGAAGAAGGCTTTTGGAAGAAAGGGCTAGCAGGTGTTTGAGATTTATCAAATCTATAATCCGCATAGGGGAGTAAGGCAAAGGTGGAGCTAAAATTTCTCTATAAAATGATGAAAAAAGTCTATATTAGTTTAGATTAAAAGACATCAATCGAATATACTCATTTAATGTGCATGTAAACAATAAAGTGGCTGAGATCATTGTTCTTAATAGAAGAGTGTTTGTATATTTACTCCTTTTTAAAAATGTGTGTATGCATGATAAATAACATATTTTACTTCAAAAATATCAAGACAAGTTCTTTTTTGACAACTGCCTTCAGTCTCAGTATAAGCTACAGAAAATAAAATGTATAGTTTGGGTTTTTTTTAAAGTTTTTCTTTTCTTTTTTTTTTTTGAGAGAGAG